TTATATATTTGTCCCTAATTCTAGATGAGATGAAGGACTCTAACTTAAACTTAATGCAATTAAGGACTTATTCTCTTTAACTTATTCCAAATAAGGACTGGGATATCACAGCGTGGGATTTCTCAACTTTTTGATTAAAGCCTTCTTGAGTCTTTCAACCAAGCTAGCCCAGACCTTTGGCCATCTTGTGCTTTATACCTGGACCATAAAATATTTATAGTGAGTTGATGCTGATAAAAAAACAATAATAATAATAAATAGAGTCAGTTGATTTTATAATTACTTGACTTTTGCTCTTTTGGCAAAAACTGAGGCCTGGTTACTTTCTCTAATAGAAGAAGTAAACTTAGAAAATGTATCAAAGAAATGTGGACTATTGTTCTTAATCTAGAACAGGAACTGAATAGAGAACTTAGGGTGAATTTAGTGGGAATGGACATGCACATTAGGGTCGAACTAATTCTACATGAGTTAGGGAGCTGGGGCATGCACCCCCCAGTCCCACATGAATTTGGTGGGGAAATGCCCCAGCCAATCATGCACGGATTTAAGGGTTCTATTATATCTATTGATGTTATGGAGAGGTTAGTTTGGTTTCAATATTTTAAATTTCCATTTTGTTGCAGATTTTCAATGATAAGCTACTGAAGATACATGTCAGAAGATGCATACGAACAGCAATCAAAATCCAGAAAAAATAATTTTACAAGGTTAGATTCTTATTCTGTTGCCTTTTCCCTCATACAATTACTATGAGTAAAAAAAAGGTTTCTTCGTAAATTTTCATTTTCCTCTCATGTGTACTCTGAAGAAAAGCACAACACATATGCAAGTCCAAACTCCAAAGAATGCACGGGGCATTAAATTAAACTCTTTAACATCACTGTGGAATATAGTTACCTTTAGTAAATCTTACCCTTTTTTTTTTTTTTTGATTCAGCTAATCAAGAGGCAGAGCTCTACAGCTCCTTATTTAGAGTAGGTCCATGCCATTTCCTGCCTATTCTGGTGGAAATATTAGAGCGTGGCAGTCTGAGCACTATTATGTGGAGCCTAGAATCCCTACTGTGGACATGGCAGGAGAAAATTTGGTTACCCTTAGATATTTCATGATTGAGGATTAGAAAGCAGAAATTTTCTGTTGAAAGATTCATCCAATATTTGCACCTATGTTACTCATTCAAATCTATTATGAGGTAATTTATCATCTGGTTCACTTTACATTGTCTCCTGCAATGATATCTATCATCTGATGCAAGTGAACATATTAAATCCATGTAGATGATCTATGCAATTAGCTGACTGAAACAATATGCAGCCTGAGTTTTTTCTTTTTTTCTCATTTTGCAGTCACTGGAAAGATCAGGAAGAAGATTTGAATTCTTGTGGTGCAGCTAGGACTGAACCAAGCATGATCTGCTACTTTTCCTTTTGTAAGTTACCATTCTTGTATATCTATATAACAAATTATTTGCGTTAAAATTTGTTAAATCTTATCTTGCGTATTGAATCTACAGAAAGAAAAACTAAAATTTGCATTTAATAGTTAGGTGTAGAGATTCTGGCTAGAGATCCTTTAGGAGATATGTTATTATTATTGTATATTCAACAACTTGTTAAACAATTTTATTCCTTGTTTATGCACATATCTATACCTGATCAAGGACATTTAAAAAAAAAAAAAAAAAAGACTGAAGTTTCATATTACCTTAAGGACAGGAAATCCAATCTTATTTGTGAATCTGCAATGCCTTCCAAACAAGTGACGAATGACTGTCTGCTGGGTATCAATATGTATAATTCAGTTTAGTCCTATGGTAAAATTAGGGGGAATATTACTACAAGTTCTTTTATCTTGCATATTCCTTGGGCACTTTTTAAGTGCAGATGAAATATATAATAATGGATAGTCCTATGTTAATATTATTTGATATTCCTTTAGCTAAAAATCACTTTTTTATTTCTTTATTCATTTCCTTTTTATGCATATGATTCTAAGTTAGAGTTTTCTACTTTCATTTTAAAGAGATTGTATATTATTGGATTATTTGAACTCAAGTTTTTTATTGTTGAGAACTTGAAACACCTCTTCGCGCAAGCTTAACCTATAAGGGAAGTATTTTTCTTTTGTTTCAATCAATTCACATCTAAAAAATCAATTCACATCTACCACCAAACCCCGCCCCCCACCTCTTTCTTTCCACATTATGCATGAGTATGCATGCAATGGACAGAGGATACTCACTCCATTTTCCAAAATAAACCCTTCATAAATAAATTATTTCCTTACTACCATACACTAAATAATACAATGCATCAAAAAAATTGTGATATCTTAATTCCACATTTTTCCTCTTCTCAAGTACTTAACTGAAATTATCAGAGAAACCCCATGAGTCCAAACCTCAGAATTAGAGATGTATTCTCTGATAATATGCCAAAGTTTTGCGTTTGTATCTGTCAGCTGTAAATGCACAAATAAAATTATAATTCATAGCAATGTAATGCAAACGCTCAGGCTCATATGGTTTATACCAAGAACTGGAAGCCACTGAGAGTTAGGGCCTGTTTGGTGCAGCTCCTAGGAGCTTCAGCTTTTGGACACTATTCATGTCTCATGAATTTAAATTTCCCTCTTAAAAACTTACACTTTTAAATATTTTTTTAACTTCAAAAAGCTCTTAAACAGTAAAAGTTCAAAAGCTTCAAATCTAAACTTTTCATAAACTCCCTTTCTACTTACTTTTCACTCCCTTTTTCACCTTCCTAAAAGCTAAAGCTCTATTTTCCCTCCAATAAAAATTTAAACTTATCACTCATAACAGTACTCAAAAAGTTAAAGCTCTCACCAGTCACACCAAACAGGCCCTTAATCTTGGAGCTTCTTTGTCACTGCAGAAAGACGTAGACAGCAAAGCATGGCACCGCATATGCAATAAAGAATTCTAAATTTCAAACAGAGGAATGAAAGAATTGCTTCCTTTATATGTCAAGAAATAACACCTCTGAGTCAGAAGACCTCACTGATCTGCCACTTTTCCTTTTGTAAGTTACTATTCTTGTATATCTATATAACAAATTATTTGCGTTAAAATTTGTTAAATCTTATCTTGCGTATTGAATCTACA